GATCCCAACACTGTCGGCTGCCATTGCTGGATAAAAGTTAAAATTGAGCCATAGATCCATTATTACTTCGCTGTTGTGAGGTCTTCTACGCATACGTGTCACTTTGGGATGTAAAGTTTGATTGCAGTCACGTTTATTTAGTCGTATGAACAACTGTGTAGCCACACGTTAACAGCCGTCTTGTTCAGCTTAACACAGCTTTATTTGCTGTAAATTCAAGCTCCATAGCGTGGAACTGTCGAATTACATGCATGATTAAAACTAGAGAGTCCACACCTCCAGAAAGCAATTATTTTTCAATAGCCAAGAATCCAGACCCTCTGAATGAAGCAAAGCCTAGAACAAGGTTCTGGTTCTACCAGGCTGACATACTTAAAAATTTCTGTCTTTATTTTTATCCTACCTACTCAGCTGTACATTTCTTTTGAACTGAGTGTGCACGGGTACAAGTGGCCAAAATGGGTTTCCTCTGCAGGGTGGCTGGGCTCTCCCTTAGAGATGGGGTGAGAAGCTCAGTCATCCGGGAGGAACTCAGAGTAGAGCTGCTGCTCCTCCACATCAAGAGGAGCCCGATGGTCAGGATGCCTCCTGGACGTCCCACCGGGAGGAGGCCCCAGGGAAGACCCAGAACTCGCTGGAGGGACTATGTCTCTCGCCTGGCCTGGGAACGCCTTGGGGTTCCCCCAGAGGATCTGGAAGACGTGGCTGGGGAGAAAGAAGTCTGGGCCTCCCTTCTGAAGCTGCTGCTCCCGCGACCCGACCCCGGATAAGTGGAAGAAAATGGATGGATGGATGGATGGATGAGTATGCCATTTTAAAAGTTTACATTTCATTTATTTTTAGTACATACTCATGGTGCCGATGTGTTGTGTTAGCTCTAGTAGTGAGATACGCCCTAATAAATCCATTTGGCTACACCTTTGATCGCTTGGGTGAATTTTGTTGACAATTTTCAAATTTTATTTCTTTCTTGTAAACAAATAGTTTCTACCAAAACAAACACTGATTAAATATGTGGTAAGATGTAGATTTAAGCTTTTCATGGGTAATAGTTATACCTGGAGCCTCATTTTCCAAATTTGTCAATTTCACTGTTACGATACGGACAAAGGAACAAATTTAATGTAATTTCATACATTTTTAACCTGCTGTTTTACATGCTTTTAAATTGTTAAAGAGGTCTTCAGTTGTGAATTTTGTTCTTTTTTCAGTTGTAATTGATAGATGGTAAGAATGTGGACATAAAACTAAAGTATTTGCAATTTTTTAATGATTAAATAATACCTACTCTCTCACCAGTGGTCATTTTCAGAAACCAACACAGGTGCCTGTAGCACAAACACAAAGAGCTTTTTTGTTATAAGTAAAAACAAACGAATAATGAATGGACTCAAAATAAAAAGCTGTATTTTTGTGAGCTGATTTTACTGCAGAAAAGGTAAGTAAAACATTTTTAGCTTTTTAATGTCCATATATGTGAAAACAAATCTATTTATATTAAAAAGCTGAATGTGTCTGTGTGACTGGATTGAACCGAGCTGATTAGATTCCACACTTATCAATACAAAGTTGACCTGTTTGAAGAAACTTTTATAAAACCTGGGAAATTTTGTTCTAAAAGATTGTGAACTTCATATTTGATGTTGAATAAACAAAACAAAACAAACAAAAAAAACAGCAAAACAAATGACTTGTGCCGTAAGATTTTTGTATATAGTAGTCCATATGTAAGGTATTTAAGACAACAGAACAGTTTTTTTCTGTATTTTGTCATGAATACACGCTAATGCTCTCATAGTAACATTCAGGTCTTAAAGTATGTGTAAAGGATAATTGATGCTAAGAAAGTAAACACTAATCTTCGTGCATTGTTTCAACCAGCTTCGAATTCCCTTCCTTCAGGGAAGCTACGCAGAAAAAATGAAGGCAGTAAAACAGGTTAGTCTGCACCAGAATATATAAAGCAGCAACTGTTGAAGGTTTATTATCCTCTGAACTTCCATCAGGAGACAGTCTACCAGCAGGACGAGTAAAGTAAGGACTCTACTCTCTGTTGTAGCTGTAAAACATGATTAATTTGGTCATTTATATCTTTAAAAATGTCCTTTAAGTGATCCATTATGTTGCATATATCACAACATGCATGCTTTTCTCGTGATCTGTTTTTAATATGCTTGGATTGATTCTGTGAGACACAAACTGTTGCCTGACACCAAGATGTCAACAGAAAAACATTTAATTGATGTGGGTTTATTTAGATTGGTAATTCAGTCCATAATGAGGTTATTTATGGTATTTTTCCTCAGAGTCACACAAATTTAACACTTTCTTTGTATATACTCTTGATTTCTATCATATTTTGATGCTCAACTATTTAAAAAAGTACACTCACGTAGCAGCTAATAAAAATCACAATAGAGAATAACGTGATACTTTCCAGTAACTTCATAATGGTTTCATAATTTAACTAAGTTTTGAGACAATAATATAATTTTCCAAGTAATATAATAAGTTATTTCATTCTTGAATAGTTTTTAATTATGTATAGCATTAAGATAATATAAGTAAATTACAAGTTCGCTTTCTGAGTTTTTTCACTTTCCACTAAGAGATCTCATTGCCAAACGTGCTAACAAGTAATTAAATATTCCTCCATACGTGAAATCACAAATTTACATATATAAACAAATAAAGAGTATTCTAAATAAATGGCTTGTATAGCATTAATCCTCCTCAACCTTCATTAAGGAGAATGATTGCTATTGAATATGTGGCCTATGGTACATAATATAACAATTTTTGATGAACAAAAAACAAGTAAAAATATTATTTTCAAGCAATGTTGTCCTAATGATGTTTTAAACATCTGCCAGCAGGATTTATTCTACTTAAAGGTTTTTTTTCATGCTACTCCAATAATGGAAGATGTTATTGGCAAAATGTTATTTTTGTTGTTGGCTTAAATAAGACTAGGAGGCTATTAGTGAATTGCAAAATAATTTGTTACTCTCTCCTCTGACAGAGCGAACATGAAGCTGGGCTTGGTGTTGGTGCTGGTTGTGGCGGCACTGCTGCCCGACCTCTTTGAGAGTCGAACTGTCACCAAATGTGAGCTGAAGGAAAAACTTCAGGACAAAATCTACCTGCCTAGAAAGCTTAGGAGGCATAGGGATGAAGTCCTGTCACTAAGTAAGTAGTATTTATTAAAGATGTCATGGAAGAAGTTGGATTGTGTCAAAGAAACATGATGAGAAGATGTTTGCTTTAGAATCAGAAGAGAAAGAGTTTTCATTGGACTGTTTTAGTTCAGAAGGGTGTGGAGTTTAAAATATCTGCTGTCTTCTGCAAGAAATGTTCCTTCCTGCTTCCCGGCAGACAGAACCAAACCGCATACCATTAATTCTTGAACGTCAGTGACTTGTGCTGATGATAATCATTCTTCTGATCTGCTTTTCTTGTTCCTTGTTTCCTCTTTGCACCTGCGTACGTGACTGGTTTGCTGCAGTTATCTGTGAGGTCAGCAGGCAGTCCAATCTGAGCACCAGCCTGGTCAACGTAGACGGTTTCCGCTTTTCCATGACCACAGCCCTGCCAACAACCGAGGGAATGGAACCAGAGACCGAAGCCATGACAGTGGCTCCTACTGCTCCCCCTGCTCCTGTTACGTCTACTACCACTACTACTACCACCACGACTGCTGGACCCGTTTCCTCAATGTTGACCACAGCAGCTGGTGGCAGCAGAAAAAAGCGAAGGGCCTCCAGAAGAAGGCATAAATCAGAGGAATCACAGGAATCACTGAATGACATGGAAAACAAGTTTGATGAGGAAGAGATGGAGAGAGATGATGAACGCCTCAGCAAGGAGAGCAGCTCAGAGGAGGGCGGATCCTCACACCCCAAGATTACGCTCTGGTCCCTTGGCTACTACGGTATCTTCCAGCTGAGGGACAGCCTCTTCTGTGATTCTGGTTACCGCTGGTCCAAAAATCTGTGTGGGAAATCTTGCACAGGTGAGTTTCAGACGCAGTGACAAGTGGAAATATTTGATGTGTTTTGCATGTTATTAATGTTTCTTTCTCCCTCTAAAGATTTCACTGACGACGACATAACCGATGACATTGACTGCTTCGTCAGCACTAATTACCACTGGTAAGCCGAAATAAAGTCAGCATTTCAAAATGTTTACTAAAATAGTCCGCGTTGATCAAACTCCTGTTTGATTGCCAAGAAAATCCAGTTCGTTTGGGGAGGTGTGAATACGCAATCAAACTCTGATGAGGACCAAAGAAGCGAATTCTAGTCCATGTAAAATCCTAGGTCTCTGTTCGGTTCTGTTTTGCCCAGTTTGAATGCATTTGTGAATACAAGTGGAGCAGAGACTGCTCCAAAAGCAGGAAGTGAACTTTAGTGCAGGGCATTCTGGGTAAATACAACCAAAACAAATGTGCAAGGAATAATGGCTGCTAGTCTGCAGACGAAGACACAAGAGAAATCCTACAACCTGACACAACTCCACTATTGTTTATATTCTGTAAAGAAGAAATCGTGCCCAATGTCTCCTTCAGATGCTTTCGTGTCGTTTCCTTCAGTGGTTCTTGGTGCAAAGCATTTGTTTGGTTTGAAAGCCAACTGCACCAGCTGAAAATGAAACAACTGTTGTTATTTTGGTCCCCAATCAAACCGACTCTACCGGACTATCATGGGGTAAAACACCCTTAGTTAAAACCAACTAATTTAATACGTCATTAAAAAGTGTTTTCACCAATTGTTCCTGACAGAACTGATTGATTTGTGCCCAAGTTTAAACTTTCTGGACGATGTTTTGAGCTGCTAATTCAATATTTCCACATAATGTTCTTTCCTAATGATGCCATCTATTTTATGAAGTGCACCAGTTCCTCCTGCTGCTTTACACAAACACAAATTGATGCTGCTACAGTCATGCTGCTCAGTTTGGTTTTAATCTTCTTAAATTTTATATTGATAGACATTTCTTATATGTTATGCTTCAGTATAATTTTTTGAAGAGATTAACATTGGACAATTAGGCATCTGGATTTGGATTACCTTGGGATTAACCACTCTGTGGAAACGCACAATGCCCTTTTGATATTTTGTCTTATTTATTTTTATTTTTCCATGATGTCGTTTGAGGAGTCAATGTGTTTACGGTGTTTCCTTCAAATAAACCCAAAGGTGTTCAATCAATTCACTCAGATGTTGAGAGCCTTTATAAACTAGGACACTATAACCCTCCCCAACTTCTACCTAAAGTTGTAGCTTTAATAATCCATGGGAATACGTGCTTATTTGGCATTTAACACATACACAATTATCGGATTAATTCTAACGGACCTGATTCGGATCCTTCACGTTGTCTTTGTGTCCTGATAAAGTTTTATATGTTTTTGTTCTCTGACATTTATAAGCAGATTTTTGCTGTTACTTTAACGGTTTTTAATTGTTCAACAGGTACATCTTCAGGAGCATCTCCCATCAGTGCTTCAAACAGAGGAAAACCTTCCTCCAAGATTGCTCCTAAGGCTCTGAGAGCATGTTTTCTGCCACCAGGTGTAACTCCACCATAAGACGACTTGCATTCTGAAGTATTACTTTCTTTCCATTGTTGATTACTGTAATTGCTTTCTTTAAACCATAGAGATAAAAACATTGGAGCAGTTTGATTTTGGGTTTTCTTTTTTGGGTTATTTGATGATGATATATCTAATAACTAATCAATAAAGACAATAAAGGTGAAAGGTTGGCTGTGAGTTTGTGTGATTGCTTCATAATTTCTGATGGTCTGACTGGTTCTTGTAATATCAGAACACATACTGATATACTGATTAATGTAATGACTTTTAGATAAAATAAAAGGACAATAAAGTAAATTTAAAAACCACCCATTGAATTTCCATCCAAAGTGAAATCTTAGTTGTGTAATTTAAGGATCTTTATTGCATCTTAAATCGCCTGATCTTGAATAGTGATTGACCAGAGGAGGGTGAAGCGTGTTGCCCAACGGCGCAACAGCAGAGGTGGACAGAGCAGGGATCAAACCCACCAACTAGAGGACCAAGTCCTATCATTGTCATCGTTCCAATGTTGCCATGAAGGTTTGAATTGCAACTGTTTGTGTTCTGTTTTCTTTTCCTGTGCATATTCCTTTGTTCTCGCTTGGCATTTCACATAGAAATGCCTTCATGCACAATATCAGTTTTTCCCTACAAAATATCTCTAGGTGGAATCCTTGTGTGATAACTTCATTAATTCAAGACTAGATCTAGTAGCATCAAAGTAGGCAGGCTATGTTTCTGAGTACCAACGTGTTTCTACGACCCTGCAGGTGTGTGTGTGGTCGTGTGGACATAAATGTGCTTGTGTTAAGTGGTTCGTTTTTCTAAAATATCAGCACTAACACTTACCTTTGAAAAGAAAGAGGCAAAAAAATGGAGGAAATTTTGTGAAAAAGAACGTACCGAGGATAAGGAAGAAGGAAGTGATGATAGCGATTAGGGGAATTAAGATTAAAAGGTAGCCTGTCCAGATGGCACACCTGCAGAGGTAAAGAGAACACCAAAGTGAAAGTATTTAACTTTTTAACCTCATTGAACACAAAACTCAAATGCACAAGGATGTCTGAGAAGTCCATGTTTACAGAAGAGAAGAAAAACCGTAGAGCTGGTTCAGATTCAACTTTATTTTTTGTCCCGTTTGTCATGTATGAACGTTCAGGGCCTCAGATGATGGGAACGACTTTTTTCTAAGCTCTGGTTGGACCAACTGCGCCATCTAGCGTCCAAAACGTGGGACTGGATGAGGAAGTTGACTAGCAGAGAAGTAAGTGTTGGTGGTGAGAGATTGGTTTAAGTTTGGGGTAAAATCAGGAAACAGCAAACTCCACCGCTGGTTTTAGTGGCAATGGAGAGATTGACAGGAAGTCAACAAGAAGCCGCCATGCATTACTATGTTTGCAGATGATATTGTGATAAATGGGTAAAATAGGCAGGTAGATACATTTTGGGATCAATTGAGTTTAGTTGTGAAGGAAAGAAACTGTAGGGAAATTAAATATGCTTAGTGAAGCAACTGCCACAACTAGTT